CAGAAGCTATTGGGTATATCAGATTCCTTCAGGCCCAAATTGAGGTGAGGTGATGTACAGTAGGATAATTCTTTCTAATCTTGCATCAGATTTTTACCCTAGACACTTCAGTCTGCAACGACCTAAAAAAAAAAAAAACAGTTAGCTAGTGAAAGCGTGCAGTTCAAAAAGTTCCCATCTGCTCGTGCTTTCCAGACATCCATGCATGAGCTAATTTTTGCAGTTGTAAGAGATGAACAGAAAAGAAGAAAAATATTCTTGTACAATCAATTTTCTTTTTCTTTTTGGGTAGGTGCAATCAATTTTCTTTTAGGAGCTGCTTTAGTTTAATTTGCACCTGAAAATTTGATTGCAGGCACTTTCCTCTCCGTACTTGGGTAATGCATCAGGAGTATCAGGGAGCATGGGTCAGGGTCACCAACAACAATCTGTAAGATAGATAGCTATTCAATCCTTACAACATGCGCATCTTCACATTTCCCCAAGCAAAGGGGAAGATCCTCTTTCTTTCTCTCTCTCTCTCTCTTTCATACACGTGTGTTTTACTGATTAATGCTGGCATTCGATTCTAGTTCCAGCCACCTAACTGGCTATCAAGATGGAATTGTTTAAGATTCTGCCTACAGAAAATGGAATTGTTTAAGATTGAAGAATAAATTCTGCCTACAGAAAAAGGAATTGTTTATTTCTTGTTCGTCTAAGAGCTTAGCAGGCATGCTGTATTGGATCCATTGCTAGCCTTAAAGCAACTCATTCTGGAAGTCAAAGAAAGCCTTTTCCGTTCATTATTGTCGTTGTTCTTTGCTGAAAATTATAGCAAGTTGATATGTGGTTGAGGGTCTAACCAAAATTTGGACACCCTCACCTACGCACAAAGTTTGTGAATAGTAAATTAACGTGCTTATCCTATGAGCTGTGCAAAAACAGTAAAAACAATAATAATTTTCTTCTTGTTACACTTATTTAGGATTCATGTCTTCGTGTAATCCTAGGTTGTCCAAGATCGGCCTAAGGACTTAAAGAGTAGAGGGTTATGCCTGGTTCCCATATCTTGTACTCAGCACGTCGGAAGTGATAACGGAGCAGATTACTGGGCTCCAGCTCTTGGCGGAGGATTCTAGTCGTGGATATTTGTGGCAGCAGTCTGCTCTCGCTTTATCAATGGAACCCCCTTATGGAATGATATAACATCACCAGCAGTCATTCTTCAAACTAGGACTGACTGCTCTTGATGCTACTATGCATTCCAAGAGAGGAAGAAAATTAAAAAGATCATATGACTCTCAGTGTTAATGTGATTCTTTTTAATTATTACCTGTACGTGCTTCATAAGGGGGCCAAAAAAAAAAAAAAACAATTAGCTAGCTCTAGGTAGCTAGCTTTGTGTGTAATGTATATGCTCTTCAATCTCAAGTTCATTTTAATTCAAATCCTACGACTGTTCATGTCAATGGTACAAGTCACAAATCCTAGCTAGTATAATAGTTTTATGCTTTAAACATATTTTAGAACGCGCGGAAGCACGTGGATTTAACTCCTCCCAATGAGTTGCCTTCTCAGTTCTTAAAGCTCCAATATTCTGCTGCAAAATATCACTGACATAAAGCAGATAGATAGATATTCGTTAATTTGACAAAGAGAGAGTGGTTACCATTTTCTTTTCTCGCTACATGAAACTCCAGACTTTCTACTCTTTGAAGAAAGAAAAACTATGGGGAGAAGTTGGTGTGCTACCTTTGAGTCAATTTTTTTTTTTTTTAAGTAAAATTACCTGAGCCATTAATTAATCAATTTAGATGGAAGTAATGGCTTAGATAATGCAATCTCTGGATATAGGGATAATGCAATCTCCGGGGGAGGGTTGGGTCGGGTGGTATGGGATGGAGGGAGTGTAAGTGAGAGGTCTCGGATTAAAGTTCTCTTGCTTACACTAAAAAAAAAAAAAAAAAAGCTTGATGTTAAATCATATTCGGCTAATTTAGCACTTCTTCATCTAATTCACCAAACGCAAAAGCAACCCTTGTAATTTTGTGTTTAAATGAGCACAATTAACTAAACAAGTAAAATGCTCTCCTTGCTGGGTTCTCTGTGTGTCAAATTTAACCGAATAAAAATCGTTTATATTAATCCACCCACAAATCTATTTCTCCTTCTTCCTCTATCCCTTAGTGTCTTATGATATTTCGTTTTTCATTGGCTTGTGAAACACTTTTTAGTCATTATATGTCCCAATGATTTTTTTTATTATAGCGAAGTTGTTGGACAGTGATTTTCTTCTGATTGTTAGGAATTGCTACATGTGATAAAAAAAAAAAAAAAGAAGAATTTCCTGACCTATCATGACTAATGTGCTTTATGAATAGCAGCTAATACAAAACTATAGGGAGAGTTGAGACAATTTTATTTCCTAATCTATTATAAAAATAGATTAATTAATTTTTAACGAGTTTAAATGCACGACCCTTATAAAGAAGCACTTCACTTCTGACATTAAATGCTCTTAACAAAAATATTTTTTAACTTATCAAAAATTGGACTATTTAAATTACGAAAATTAGTTATCAAGCACTATAAAAATGTTTCTAGTGTTTAAAAGCTTTTTTTTTTTTTTTTATAAATACACCTTAATTCCAAACAGACAGGGCCTTAATCATATAAGAATTTTGTGAGCCAAAAGATCTTGGCATGCACCGACCAAACGAAGGTCAAATTTTTATGTCCTTCTTTGGATCACTCATTATTAATCTGTTCATTCATGACATTTTACACGGATCGGAGAGGAGAGCTGCAAATGACCTTGCCATTATTAATGTTAAGGAAGAAAAGATGCTTGTATGTGGCGCCAAATGTGAAATATCAAGCAGGGCATGGCGGTGGACGGTGGTGGGGCTGCGGCTAATCCGCATGTGCGAATCTGGCCCCGATGTCTTCGTAGGCCTAGCTTCAGGGTCAGGTCAACCTGGACTTCTTCATTATTATGTTCGTTCATCACCCCACGTACTGCTGCAACTGCAAGTGCCAACAACCCAAATGAGGTCGTGACGTTAGCCTCCATCTCGGGGGCGGGGGGGGGGGGGGGGGGGTTCCTCATTTTCCACTCCTTGCTGCAGTTATACTTTGTTTGGACAAAGATAATTTGATTCGTAAAATTTATTCTCACAAATTTCAATCACATTTTTATATTTCCAATCACTTTTTTATCTCACGTACATCACATCACAAAAAGTGCTACAAAGAATATCTCAAATGAATCATCCAAATAAACTCTTATCCAAACAAACTCACTTTTTCTCCGGCTTCCATTCTGTTTTCTTTGTGCCTAAAAACTACACCTCTCAGAGAAACCACTCGATCAATTCATGTATAGTATAGTAATTAATTGTTAGCGCATAAAAATGAATTACGCTCTCATAAAGACTCGTTTGTTCAAATTTCGTCCGTTATTATTCCTGTAAGCGATTTATAGTTTCGATTCAGAGTATGCTCGTACTTGTGATTACGAGGACGGCACAATACTCAAAACCGGAAAATAAAAAAAAAAAAAAAGTAGTAACTAGTAAGTAATAATTTCTGCAAGAACCAGTGATGCTTTTTCACCGGTCCGGTGGGAGGGACCATTCCTTGGTCTCTCCTCCTTGTGACAAGCTGCAGTGTCGCAATAGTGATGTCACGTATTCATCAGACGCATTATGTACAATGGATGGTATAAAGAGGGTTGCCAAATTTTTTTTGTCTTTTAAAAAAAAAAAAAGTTATTTATTTTTATTGTTTAAAATTTTTATGAGGGAGGGAGGGAGGGAGGGAATTGTTTGAGTACTCACTCACGTCTTCCACTTAGATATTCCACTTGCTAAAAAAGAATGCCTAATAGTACTGCTGAGGTTTTAAATTATTAGAGAAGTAGAACAATAAGTGGGCATTATTTAAAGATGACTGCAAACCTGTGGCCGAACAATGGGTCAAAACAATCATCAATTAATCATACTAAATAATTATGAAAAGATTGATTGTCTGCTTGTGCTTTGCAAAAGGGGTAGAGGAGTTGTTTATTTACTATTTTTCCGGACCAAAAAAAAGCGATCATTGGACGGGGGGCTTTGCCGCCGCGACGTTAAAATGCTTACCCCTTTGCACTGGGGAGGCCACAAATTAAACTGCCAATAATGACCAGCACTGACCAGAGGCCACAAATTTTTATTTTTTTTTTGTTATTTTTGGCAGAAGCACAATCAGACACGAGCAAAAAACTGTTTTGTGCTTTTTATTTATAAGGATATAAGACATTGATTGGAGATCTCCTTCAAATATCCGGTCGAAATACAACAGAGCTTGCGACATTTTTGCTTTCTCGTCAAAAAAGCCAAACAGGGTCTGTCTTCATCAACCAGCATTAATTAGTAGTGGAAGAAGTACTGGCTGGCTTTTTAATCTTTTTTTTTTTTTTTTAGTTTTTATTCTTGGGTTGTTTTGGACATATCATAAATACCACGAAGTACTTGGGTTTTTTTTTTAAAGCAAAAATCAAACCAAAATTTGTACGAATGGTTCACCTATACTTGTTTTGTTGGTTGGGAATTTTCCTTTAGGTTCATGATAATAATAATATTGCCTTGTGTTTGGTGTCTAGCTTCATCTTCACCCGAACTTTGCCCCCCTTAAAGATGGTCGATATGGACCCCTCGACGTGACCAAACAATTCCAGTCTCATTAGGAAAAAAAAAAAAAAGAAAAAATTCACTCTGAAAATTTGGCAAGTAAATAGAGATAATTATACATTGTTGGGAATTGCCTTATATTGATGCTACAAACTAATATGCTTCTGGCCCGAACTGCTTTGGGCTAGCAGTGGAACAAATGGCCTGGCCCGTGCAATTGACGAGATTACAGCCCAAAATCATCCGTAGACAGGACCCAGAACTCATTAACGATGACCCAAAGTTTGATACGTGAATGTGATAATTATTTACCCAAAAAAAAAAAAAAAAAGGAAAAAAAACTTATAATCCCCTCTGACTTGTCTTCGCTGGTATGATGGATGGTATTGGTATCCCCTCTGCAATTTGGATTAGTTTGTAAGAGTTTAGACACTACTGGTATTCGCCTATTTGCTGCCCAAAAATGGCCGAAATTGATAGTAAATGGAAGAAGACTGCTCTTCTGGTCATAGACATGCAGGTGCTGCCCATCCTCCTACCTTCTATTGATCTTACTTTGAACCCAGAAAGTAATCATTTCTGGATTCTAGTTCTAGTGTTCTACATCTGCTTTTCGATGCCTTTACTATTTCTTGTTTGGTTTGCAAACCAGCCTCTAATCCTTTTCTTGATATTTTTGTCTTTCTAATTCTTGAGTTTAAAATTGAAGCTTTATACAGCCTTGAGTTTGGTTGTTTTGCAGAATGATTTTATCCTCCCAGGAGGTCCAATGCTCGTTAAAGGTGGGCAAGCTATTGTTCCCAACGTCATCAAGGCTGTAGAGGTTGCCAGAGGACGGGGCATCCCTATAATTTGGGTATTCTTCAGACCACTTTTTGTGCTTAGCTGAGTTCTGTTACTAGACCCTTCCCGGCAGACAAGAGACGAAAGTTGAAACTTTGGCTAGAAATTAAATCATGATTGTTAATTTAGACTTGAACATTTTGGTCAAGGCAACTGGAAAATTTCATCTTAATCAAATGGTAATTTTAATCTGGTATCAGAGTAATCAGAGGCGATGAGAAAGTTCAATTTTGCTGTGAATTTTTAATTCGCACAAGTGCTTTATCCATCACCTAGTACATGATCCCTACGTGAACCCAGAGAAAAAATAAATAAATAAAAAAGGTATACGATCCCTATGCATGGACTGAAAAATTACAAGTTAATAATGTGATGTGTAAGTCTGGGAATAGCGATTCGCTTTAGCCTGCAAATGACTTTTGGTAATTCGACTGTAGGTTGTTCGTGAGCACGACCCTTCAGGGAGAGACGTCGAATTATTCCGCAGGCATTTGTACTCTCCGGGGAAACCAAAGCCAACATCTAAGGGCAGTTTTGGAGCAGAATTAGTTGATGGCCTTGAAATTAAGGGAGATGATTATAAGCTGGTGAAGACACGTTTCAGTGCGTTTTTCAATACCCACCTTCATTCATATCTTCAGGGTGCTGGAATTAGTAATTTAGTTTTCACCGGTAAATGAGTTTTGGGTGTCATCTCCCGTATTTTTATTTTGTCTATTTTGCTAGGAAATTATACTTGTTAGATTTGTACTTTCCATGTTGCGTAATTGATTTCTTAAATTTCTTTCCTAGGTGTCCAAACTCCAAATTGTATCCGGCAAACTGTCTTCGATGCAGTGGCATTGGATTATCAATCTGTAACTGTAATTATTGATGCTACAGCTGCTGCTACACCTGAAATACATGTTGGTATGCAATTCATGTCTTCAATCACATCAGCGAGTTTTATACAGAAAGGTTTTCTTTTGCTCAAATGGGGAATTCCCCATCTACACCATCTTAGCCTCAATGTGCACTAAAAGATGGCTTCACTGTGCATGTGGATTAGAACTTGTATCACTGTACTTGCTGCAATTGAATGAGTGCGAGGGCACTGCCCATTTGTTGTCATTTTTGTACCCTGATATCTTCAATTCCCAGCATGTTAAACTTCTCTAAATGAAGTTATGGAAACCATTCCATGCCCTGGTAGGCCTCTTCTTCTTTCATTTACTTCTCTGATTCTATTGCGTGGACATGGTTCCTTTAGCCAATGTCACAGATGCAAACTGTAACAGTAGCATGAATGCCCCCTAAATATGGAAGAGTGATTGTTATGGAGTTTTTATGGTAAACTGTTGTTTGGGCTATATAAGCAATGAGGAGTGCGCCAATGAGAGGACGGTGACAAAACACAATACTTATTTCTGGTTTCTGTGACCAGTAGACCAAGTAATAATGAAATCTGGCTGAGATAAGTGGAGGGAAAATTTCATGGAAAAGGTGGTGGAACTCTTAAAAATGTCAGGGTCTATTTCTGCTGCTAAGTGGCAGTCTCTTAAAAAAGTCTATTTCTGCTTTCTGATACGATTGCTTGTGATTCCTCAACAGCAAATATACTGGACATGAACAACATTGGAGTCGCTGCGCCAACACTCGCAGAATGGGCTGAATCCAATACCTGAAGTATAGTCGGTGTCAGTCGGGTAACAGTAGAGTCCTTAAAGACTGAATTTCAGCTGGTCATATCATATCCCAGAAGCTGAATATTAGGCTCTGCGCTCCCTGATTTCAAGTAATCAGCAGGTTTTTGCTTGCTTTGGCTTCTGTCATTGTGATTCAGAAGTCTCTTTTGTTGGCTAGTTCGCATTGAATGCAGATGGCTTCAGCTGTTGCTGCTCTGTTGTAGTAGTTTCTCAATAATGTTCAGAACCGTGCCTTGGCTTTCTTCTTTTGGAACGTTTTTATGTTTCTGGCTTTGGAAGGCAAGATGGAAAAGTTTAATGGAGAAAAACTCCCCCGGGCAAAACACTTGGGCTTGGCCCAACCGGCCCAACCGGTTGTTAGTGCTGATACTGTTTGATGGCAGTAGAGTGCCGTGCCAAATTTGTGTTTTTATTGGCCCTACTTCAGTAAGCAAAGGTGGGGAAGCCCAGCCCCCCCCCCTAATGGGCCTTTGTGTAAGCTGACGTTGCTTTCAATTTGCTGGGCAAGTCAAAACCGTGTTTTGGACTTTTGGTTTAGGTACTATCAACCACCGCCGTGTCAGTGAGAAAATGTGAGGAATTTTGCCTTAAAAAACAAAAACTATTTCTGGAGTGGGTCCCAAAAGTTGAATATCTTTGGTAAGTCCGAGCACGTTACTGCATGCTACTACTGAGTAGCGGGCTGGGGCTTGGACCTGGTCCTCCCTCTCTCTGATGTGATCTCCCTCGCTTTTGAACAACGGCCGCTTTTTTCTTTTTTTTTTTACTTTTTTTTTTTTTGAAAAAGACAATAATATTTTATTACTTCCCAGAGAAAATTGTTAGTCAAAGGAAGACTTGTCAGCAGATGAGTTGCCTGCCCTCCATATCTGATATCTTCCTTCTTGGATCACTATCAGAAAGAGTGACACACACGTCCATATTTTGTCTCCTCATGTTTCATGATCAACCAAAATAGATCCGATGATACGCGTGTTTAGGTTTTGATTCTACTTTTAACAACATTCATGCTTCATTTTGTACCATCACTTTGCTTTTTGCTTTCGAGTTCAGCCCAACAATTACCAAATTCAGAGTTGAGCTCAGCTCAAGTGACTCGACTCGATCATCAAATCAAATACACTAATATGCTATGCTTGATCATCAAATACCGGTATCTTCTGTGTTGCATTTTGCAAGGGTCTGAATATAATATTATATTCAGCTCGATTCGACTCGTTAAAAGTTTCAAGGACATGTAACGTGTGGCAATATTATCATAACGAAGAAGACAACTTCAGTGCGTCTTTAATTACTCCCAAAAGAGAAAAAAATGAAGAAGACAACAATATGTCATTGTTAGTTTCGTTGTCAAACCGATTATTAGAAAGAGCTGGCTTCAATAATAATGAGCCAGAAGCCGGAAGGAACGACTAACGAGACAATGACAGGAACCATGAAAAAGAAAGATGGCTGTGGGTACCGGCCATCGGGGAAGAAGGTAACACGATCCGTGTTCAAGGATTATTACTATTATTATTATTAATTATTAAGCGGAGAAGGGAGGAGATTTAATAAAGTGATGAAGAAAAAGGGAGATTCACACCCAAAATTTTTATGTTTTAAGATCTCAATTTTAGTTACTGAACTAAAACCTTCTCGACTCTAAAGAGGTACTAATATGTATCAGTAATCACCGCCAAACCAAAAATTATTCAGTCACTCTAAAAGCAGAATTCACACTTAGAATCCCCCCTTCAAGTAGATTTTCATCAAAGTTTGTCGCCTCTGATTACACGAGTCCTCCCTGCAAATCTCATAACTCAGAGCTTCCCAGCATGCTGAAAGTTGCACCGCGAAGAAATGATGATATGAATTAGTACAAGTAAATTCACATCTATCTCTTCATACCAAACTTGTCGCAAGATACAATAAAATAAAATTACAAAGGCTGTTCGATCTTTTTTTTTTTTAATTGGACAGCAACAATTAATCTAAATCTACTTCTACTCCTAATCACACTCTATCCTATCTCTAGAGAAATTGACAGGAACTGAACCATTATCGAACCAGATAGATACACTACACATTCATATATATTTTAAAAGAAATCATATATAATAAAATATTGATAAAAGGTAAAATTTGAACCTTTATCTCTCAACTCGCCAAAACTTAAAATTTTGGTGATGCCAACCGCATAAACAGCCGTTCCGTTGGTTACAAATGATGTCCGATTGTTTTTTTGGGGGGGGGGGGGGGGTGTTTCACCAATAGATGTTAATTTTGCAACAATGCACTTTTGACTGGGGGAGGGTGTGGGTCGGGTACTCGCTCCATTCACCATTTTGCTGACTTGACCCGCACCTTGCGAGTCAGTCATTTTTTGACCCTTATCTGCCCCGCATATCAGCGGATACCCTATAACGGATACCCGTTGAGATAGGTCGGATCAGCGGGTACCCGTCCCGCCCCGTTTATCATATAATTTTTTTAAAAAAATGATTTATACTAATTTAATTTTATATTTTACACATTTATCTAAAATTTACTAATTTTTTTTTTCTAAAAAAAGGTTTCCCACCAAGAAACAAGTATATGAAGAGAATATAAGATAAAGGAAAAAAATTAAAAGAATTCAAAATCAATAAAAGTTTGAAATAAGTAGCACAATTTTTAACATATATGTTCCACATTAATTAAACTTTTTTCTATAAAATATAAGATCATGGCCTTTACAAATGAATCTTGTAAATAAACTATAGTCTTTCATATTTGTAATGCAATTTGTTCAATAAAATTACTTATTTAGTTCTAACTTATTATTTTATAGTGTGTGTATAAAAATAAAAATAAAATATATATATGTGGGGCGGATCGGGTATCCGCGGGTTTTTAATTATGTGACTCTAACATGTCCCGCATCTTAGCGGATATCCGACCATCTTTTGACCCGATCAAATAATAAAAATCAAATATCGTCATTTTCGGATCGGATCGGATCGAATTGGATACGACGAATTTTCGGGTTAGCGGATAATCTTGCCCACCCCTACTTTTGACAGCTAAGTTCACAACCTTTAATCCATGTCCACATCTGTCACTTGGCCCATTTGCCAATACTTTGCACGGCGCTGAGCGCTAAATCAATTACTCTTACTATTATCAGCCATCGCTGTTATGACTGCTACACCAGAAAGATGTCAAACTGCAAATCTCCATTTGTGCAATAAAACAAAAGGAACTGCACCAAAACTAATACTCTACAGTACGCAAGAGTTTCAGGAGAATGAATACGTCCATGAATTTCAAAAAACGTAACATAGTCAAATCGCACTTGTAGCAACTTATGGTTTTCAGGGCTCCTAAAATAGATAGGAGTACGGATTTCTGGAAAACCAGGGTGCCTTAGGCCTGCTAAACCAAAATGTGCAAGTAAAGAAACCAAAATCCTCACGCCAGTGCAGGATTTGAACTGCTCATGGGCGAGGCCCTGGGACTGGGACTGGGACTGGGAGTGGGTGGCGCTGCCCCTGCCGATCTAGCTAGTACCCTTACCTGCCTCACCAACAATCAGTAAATGCCATTTTCTTCTGTCTACCAAACCAAACTAAGAGGATACTGCTGCTGCACAGCCCAAACCAGTTGCCTAGCTACTTTGATCCCATGAATTATATAAGGGGGAAATTATACGTTTCACGCCACTTATTTAATTGTCCCTGAAAAGAGAAACTCTGACGCGTGAATACGGTGAAGCAGTGACGATTGTGAGTTGGACTTGTCAGTACTGAATAGTTGTTCCTATGAGAGATATTTTAGTACATCCAAAAAGCAACAATAATATAGCGGTTTAGTTGGTAAGATGGATCATTTTTTTTTCTTACCAACAATCATGTACTGAAATTTGTGTGATGATTGTCCTGTATTGGTGATTAATTATAAATACTCATATCCTTATTAATCTATCTAATTCTTGATGAATCGAAACCAACCTAAAATATTTGCATCGAAATGCATTACAGAATTCGGTGGAGCTTCATCTTCTCAGACGTCAAGCGGGATTACAAAATAAGTCCATCTCGTGGACTATTATAGCACTCGCTCAAACACAGGCTTTTCGCCTAATTCACCCAAAATTTATTTATTTGATAGCAGATTATTGTTAAACTTATCTGAATAATGAGATACTTCCACGTAATGGAAATAGTTCACAATTATGGATTTCGGCAGGCAAGTCGAGTGCCTCCCTATTGCAGTAGTGCATGCCTGAACGACGGGTCCATGATGTGCTTAGACCAGCCTATGAGCCGTGCTCGCCGGGTCCCGGGGTCTGAGTGTGGTCCTATATCGTGGATCCACCAAGTCGGATCACACGGAATCCTCAGTACCACTTATGTATTTATATTAAGAGTAAATCTTATATATATTATCAATGTACATACTATTACGATTAGACGAATGACACGTGAATCAAATTCGAATGGCACGAATCACGTGTCATATTTATTTAACTCGTCACGTGCTATTTATTTATGTTTTTTTTTACTCTCACGTGATGAATAGAATTTACAGTAAACTTTATGACATCGAAATAGTGTACACAGAGTATCCCAACTGAGGTCGGACACCCCATGAGTAATTAATAGTAATACACTGCGACTGCTGCTGCTACTACAAAATAATTAGTGTAAAAATAAATAACAAAATCTAGATTAGACAGATAATTTGAATGAAATACTAAAAAACTATTTATACACACTGGTACACTGAACAAGTTGCACCAAAATTGTCTACTAGTTTTCGTCATATGTTCTGTGAGAATGTTGTGTCCCCTCTGGACCTTCTCATTCGGCTGATCGTTCATATTGAAAGTGAAAGGGAGCTATTGAAGTAAGTAGAAATTCTAAGAGAATTAGAGAACAGCTTAGAGATAGATTTTTTTTTTTTCCTAGAACCTTTTTGGGTTCTAGATTACAGGAAAATTGTTGAGGAAACTCCTTCACGATGTTTAATATACCATAAATAAAGACTGAAATTTTTTTTAAAAAATGATTAACAGCAAATGGATACATTCGTTTGAATTGCAAATTTTAGAGTTTGTATATATATATATAATTTTATAAATGATGATGAGCGCTGCTCCGTAACAGAAAACGTTAATAGCGAGTCTTACATTATGGCTCATAAAAGGGGATCACGTCATCTGTTTTGTACTTGTATTGGGAATAGTATCATTAAACCTTCTCCTCTTCCTCTTCTACATGTTAATTAAATAAAAGGTCATCTTTGACCATGAAGCTTAGCGTATAGTCGAGTGGATCATTTATTTACTTGTATTTTTCTT